GATCGGGCCTCTCACAGCTCCCCCGCCATCCACCCCTGGCATGCTAACACCTTACAAGTTAAGGTTGTAGGTGTCTTTGGTACTCTGCCAAAAAATGTTGCTGACCCCATCCCCAGCTCCTCACAGCCTCTGCCTCTTCCCCCTAATCCCTCAGTCTCTGCCCCTCCCAAATGTCCCACGTCTGCCTCTTTCCCCACTGCTCTCTAGTCTCTGCCTCTCCCTCCCTTGTTCCCTCCAGTCTCTGCCTCTTCCCCATCTCCCCCACTCCCCTGCCTTACTATCAGACCCTGCTTAGGCTGCTCCATCCTGGGGGTGGGAAAGGGGTGGGAAGGGACAGGGAGGAGGGTGAGCAGGGGGAGGGGGAGGGACAGAAGCTGCAGAGGGGAAGCTGCACGTCATATGCCAATATACCAGAGGGGCTTTTTTCCCCCATGCTGACTGGGGGAACAAGCCTTGTCTTATATTTGAGGATATATGGTATATCAAGTAAAGTGTATTTGATCTGCCGAGGCATACCACATACATCAGACAACTTATAAACACTCTGAACAGCTTACATATGTTTTTGAGGCCTCAAAATGCCAAGCTGTGGAACTGTTAAATAAATCAAAACCTGCAGTTATTGTCCATGTGTCTATAGAACCTCATTGACCTTCAAGCTTAGCATTTGCAAGTTCTATTTTAATGATTATTACCTTCACTGAAAAGCCTTTAAAGATTTTTTTTAAAAATCAGCAAGAGAATATATAGTACACCTTACCTGAACCAAATTCCATCCTTTTAGAGACTCAGCAATGATAGAGGTGACTGTTGCACATACTCCACCGAAAACCATCAGGTGATTAGGTCCATATTTTATTGCATCATAGAAGGCTTTGAGTCCTTTTGCATTGTCACACTGGGAGGGGGAAAAAAGGAAAAATTCTTAACTGGAAATCACTGACAGTACAATTATAAATTACAATAACAATTAACAACAAATTACTCACCAGACAAAACTTTTAGATACTGCAGTGACTAAGTTTGATTTTGTAGGGCCCAGGCTAATCAAATGCAAGACAATCTCAGCTTGGGACCTCCTGAAAGAAAGAGCTTCCATGTGTCTAGCTTTTGTGAAGGAGGCACCAAGGTTGCAAGGAGCATCTCCCTTCACCTTCTAATTCCCTTCTGTCCTCTGCGACAGAATTTAGATGTCGGAAGTGCTAGATATTAATGTGCCATAAAGAACAGAGCACCAGGAGCAGATAATAAGTGCTAACATTTAACATTTCCAGTGGGTTTTTTTATCCCTTAATCTGAGTTAGATTTTCTTCAGGCAAATGTACTCACTTCTAAAATGTGCTGTGACAGAAGTATGTCAATATGGGGCGGGGGGGCAGGGAATTTGGACAACACCGGTTTGTCACAAGAAAATATTACACATTGGCATCTGCTGCAAATGAAGAAGAAAAATGGAAAACCTTAACATTGTGTGCGGATACAAGTGCATAAAGAAATACCTTCCTTTATGTTAAAGAGATACAACCTGGTCAAAATGTCAAGGAAGTGTTATGCTAGCATCCTTTAACTAAAAAGGCTCGAGCACTATTTTTTTATTCTAAAATAAGGGGTCAGCGGTCTATGGCATACTGGTCTGATGTGGCCTAATAGAAGAATAGATCCTGCCCAAAGCAGCTCAGGGAATCTGCACCTTGCTTCACCCAGAGCAGGCATCCCCAGGTGTGGTATATGGGATGTACCTTAATGGGCTGGCAGTGGGATGACCCAGTCTCTCCCCCTGAAGCTCTGTGGGTATGGTTTGTGGTGGTGGGTAGTTGCAGTTCTCCCTGCAAGCTGTGAGTATGCGAGTTGCTCATTCCTGTTCCTAATAAAAATAAAGCTGTTTACCACCCCCCTGGTCTCTGCTGAATGGTGACTCGAGGACAGAACCCCAAAGACATGGAGGTCTGAGTGAGTCCCCCATCCCTGGAACCCAAAGGCATTGAGTAAACATTATATAGTATGAGAAGTCCTACCAACTACTTCTTCTATCGCCTTCCTCCACAAAATATGTTGATCACCATGGAGTATGGAGCTTTGTGGCCCATGGTGGAGCCAGGTTGCAAGCAGCAGCACAGAGGAGCAAAAGGTTGCCAACCCGTTCTAAACAGTTCTACTGCAGTTAGCCAGGGCCTTGTTACATGTTGCACTCTGAGCTGCTCAGATGTTGATTGGTGTTAGTGCTAGCTCCAGTACAGAGCAGTCCTGCCTTAAGGCTAAAAACTTTTCCACCTGCACAGCTGTGACATGCATGGCTCACAAGTAAGGGCCAAGCTAGGTGATACAGCTGTGATGTGTCACTACAGGGCTGGTGAGCCAGGACAGGCATCTATCCCTGCTCTAGGCAGAGGTATGTAAGAGATGGGTTTGGGGGGCTGGGAACATGAAGCTGGGAAGTGGAGACTTAATGGGACTGGGGTGAGTAAAGAAAAGGGAGTGGGGGAAGGGTGGTGAAATGAAGTAAGTTAGCCACTGAAGGATAAAATAAAAAGAAGTATAAAAAAAATAAATAAAAAGGTAAAATAAAGTTCTCATCTTTTAATTAACTAAGATTTGGAATTGGGGTGTGGGGGTGCTGGTCATGCTTCCTGGGGTGGCTGGGTAGTGGGAGTGGTGAGAGAAGGCACTTTTGGGGAGATACTGCCCCTGTCACAGGAAGGATTCCCCAGCTCATGGGGACCCAATCTGGTAACTCTACCTTGTTTTCCTAGACCCCACTCCTATAGCTGTCCGTGTCCTGCAACCTGGCTAGCTGACATGTGCTCTGCAGGCTGTTTGCATGGGACTGCACCCCTGGGGGTGGGAAAGTTGCACCCTCAGGGGTGGAAGGGGGAGTTGGCTTGGTGTTAGAGCCATGCCCTGGATAGGAGAGTTCAGGCAATGGAAAGTTTGTCCGCACAGAACAAGAGGGAGTAGGGGACAATGAATCCTGGGATGCTTGAGGACTGCAACTTGGGCAGCTCACATATGAGGAGCGGCCACACATTAATGAAACATGAGCTGTGCAACATGGATCAGAGATAATTCTGCCCTGAAGTAGTGTAACTTTAAGTTGTCTAAAATGTGCTTAACAGCAGTTTCAAGTGTTAGTGTGTGAACAATCCAGGGTTTAACACTTCCAAGACCTGCCTAAAATTAATGTGTAACAAGACCCTGAGTAGGTACAAAAATTAGCCAGAGTGTCAAGCGATGTGATTATACAAATAGATGGAGCAATCACAGCTTTTCTATGATGCCTTATATAGAAACAGTTTAATTTTCTAAATATACCAAATGGAAGAATTTTAGCAGAACATACCACAGAAATCAAATATTTTGTTTCTAGGTGAGACTATGAGCTGATACAGATTGCTTATGGGTTTTGTGGTGGCTTCTGTGTTTCCTGGAAGCTTTTTCTCCTTAATTCTCTTCCCTTTTTTTTCCTACAAAGTCTTTTAAAAATATGATCTCTATAAAAATAACGGTAGAGCTGCCTCCAATATTTCATTACCACAGTTAAATAAAACAGTTAATTTACTAATATCATTCCATTTTAAAGAATAGTAATTGTATCGCTTTCTGTTAAAAGAACAGAGATTTCTACTAAGAAGTTGGCAAGCTTATATTAATCTTCTTACTGATTTAATATTTATAAAAAAATGGTTCTATTTGAATATCCAATAGAATTATTATTGGCATTTGTCCCAAATGATGCAGTTTTGCACTTTGTGGGTATTTTTTGCATGAAATAGTGCAAAAAAACCTGGCACAAACTTCCTTATTAATTTGCTGGACTATTGGTAAACTCAAACTATACAAATTCTATCCTGGGGAAGATCTTAGAAAAGTTTATTAAAGAGGCCATCCTTAATGGACTGGCCGACGCCAACATCCTAAGGGATAGCCAGTGTGGCGGGTGCAGAGATCCCACCTCAGGAACACAGCTGGGTATTCGTATCCCTCTGCTGTTTCCACCACGTGAGGCGGGCCAGTAGGGGGTGCTCCTGCGTTGAGCCACCCACCTCCCTGCGCCCGACCACCTTCCAGGCTCCGAATGCCTCCCTAGGGGCGCCTTATGTCCGGCCGACCCCTCTCCCGGAGCACACTCGCTAGTCTGGGGGTAACGTGCCGCCACCACCCCAAGAATGGACTGTCTCGCGGCCCTGTGTCCT